ACCAAAAGTCAATTACATAATGGCACACGTAAGATCAATTAAAAACCCAGATACGGCTTGTATTACATAAGCAGTGAGAAATCCTCCGTTCTTGTTTACTTGTATATGATTAATTTCGTATTTTTTACAGTTTGGTTTAAAATACTCTGCATTTTTTTTTTTTTTTTTTACATTAAAATCAATAATTTTTATTCCTTGATAAATGCGTAACTAAATAAAAAACACTCTTACATTGACTCTTTTATAAGATGTAGACGCTTAAATTCCTTTTTTTAGCTGAATTTGTATTTTATTCGTTGTAAATTCAAGTGTCGCAGTCACAACGTTGATTGGATCTATTTTTGTCTTTGTTTGCAAGAAAACACTGAAATTTGTTCGCATTCAACCAACTTTTTTTGTCTTCAAACGTATGAATCATAAAGAACCAGATAAACGAACACGAATTACGTTTTCTGTCTCGGGAACGCAACCGTGTTTAAAACTCATTGATGAATAAAAAACACTACGCTCGAATATATTGCAATTTAAAATTGCTGTATACGCTAAGAGGCAAAATTAGTGGGAGTTTGACCCGTACGTACACACATTATTTCTATTATTCTCGCATAGTGAATGGTAAAGAGCCATATTAATAGCAACAACAGCATAGTAGCAGCGAGAGACAAGCCCCAAACGAGAAAGGTGTATTAGTCAAGTCGAGCGTGACTCCGGTCTCTGCTGCAGTCTCGACTTTTCTCCTTACTCGTAGGATACAAGTAAGTAGCCGAGTAGCAATTGAAGGCAAGAAAAAAAAAAGTGTTTCAGCTGGCTTATTTCTTTCTCTCTCTCTCTCCCCCTTGGAGTTAAATTGCTCGATGGTGGAGTAAATGTGTATATACTTATATAGATGTATAGCCAAGATTAAACGAGACGGCAACGTGGAACCACAATACATACACATACCAAACCGATCGAATCGTTCGCTGGTATAACGACTCAAGTATATATGTATATGTTCATGGTATACACAGAAACGAGCGCGTTTGCTTATCCAGCGTGGCACTTGTGCCCCTCCCGACCTCGACTCGACTCTTTTTATCTCTATCTCTTTCTTTAGCTCGCGTATGATACTTTACCTGGCCTCTTTGTGTCCCCCCCGCCTTTCACGCGAACTGTACCGGAGAGCTGACTTGGCGTTCCGAGAGAGCCAGTACACCTCCCACCCATCCCCCCCATCAGTCATCATCAAAAAACGGTACAGTCTACAGTGCAAGCAGACTTGGATTTGAGGAACAGGAAAAAAAAAAACCCCAATATCGAGTAGGCCTTGCGCGCAAACCTGCTTCTGCTGTTGTTTCCACTTCTGCATATGCCATAAACAAAAAATATATTTACATGCTGATTCGTGCCAATGCACACCATCGTACTTGCTGAACGAAAATTTAAAAATTCATCCAATGGTTCCATGTACAAAGTGTAAGAACATTCGATGCCGAAATTGGACGTGGCATTTGGGTGTATGTGCACTGTACGGCAAATATTAAAATTGAACACACATGTGGTATTTCATTAACTTAGTATGCGAAAAATGAGTTTTTTTTTTTGTAATTTATCTTGAATTTCCTTTTTTCTGGGGCACAATAGTAGCTCGTACGTATATATTTATTCTTTATTTATTTATTTGTCAATTGTTTCACATCACCAGTACATACATCTCATACAAAACTGAATTTCGTATAAAAGCACACCAATCGAAAGGAAACAACTTCCATAAAAAGTAGATATACAAAGATGTTCACAACAATTTGGAGAACACGTGTGGAAAATCATTCCTCACAGCCTCTAAGTGAACGAAAATATACGCGTTCTGTGAATTCTATTTCCGGAGGAGGAGAGCTGTTGGCGACGCTTCTGCTGCTATACGTCAAAATGGTCGGATGTACATTTTGGGCGCTCTCTCTCTCTCTCCATATATACATACACCGCTCGAACGATCGCTCTTTCTCTCGTTGGGAGGTACGATAATAAGTAATGAAAGAAAAATAAAAAATAACGTTTCGTTCGAGCTGAGCCCTCTTCTTCGCCAATTTATACTATCTGTATCGCTCCGATTGGTTATCGCTGCTCTTTTTTTTTTTTTTTTTTTAGCCTCCGGGATACATTCCACGTAATCTCCTTATCGTGCTCTAGATTGTGTTTATTTTTCCCGCACGTCATGGAACGACCAGTGTATTTTTACATTTTAAATTAAAGTAAAAGATATAAAAGTAATTACAAGAGGTAAAAGAAAAACATTTCCTCTACCCTCGTTGGAAGATCCGAGTACTTTTCTCCTCGGCCAGGGCTATTTTTGCCGTACATCAAACACAAACTCGGTTACAAAAGCAAACGGGAGAATCATATACGAGTATATATTACAAGTGCTACGTGGCCCGGGAGTCGTGAAGAAAAAAAAAGCAAAGGACAAAAAGATGGAAGGAAGGAAGAAAATGAGAGCAAAATTTCAACTACAAACGAGCAGAGCAAATGAGAGTACGTAGAGAGAGACGAGTGAGTTTTGATAAAATGGCCGGAGAGCCCGATGTGTCGGAGAGTGCAGATTATATTGTACGTGCGACTCGCGCGAGCTGAGACGATAGACTTGGGAGTTGGCTCGGTTGGCTCGTACCGAAATGCGTTGGCTCGATCTCCGCAGCACAACTGCGCTTGCGCCCTACTATACCTTTCTCTCCTCCTTCTCCTGTTGCCGAAGCTCGCCGTTCTCCTCCGTCCTCCTCTAGCAAGCCGTACCCATATTTATACTTACCCACCCAACGGTGTCGAATCGACTCTTGGACGTTGACGCTCCGCTGCATCCCTTCTCCGTTTCTCGCTCGCGACTATGCTTGTGTTGTTCGTACATACGTGATGTGAATGTGTGTGCACACATACCGCCCTGACTCCCATCCTTTGGAGGTATACCCTCTACAGAGCCGACACTGCCGCTGTGCCCTCCTTGCCTCCACCCCCTTGGTCTCCTAGCACCCACACACTGGGTAAATTTTACATGCTGCATCTACACACGTCACTACTAGCTTGCGTGTATTTTACTTGTATAATGGCCTCTCGCTCATATTACACATGTATATAGTTACAAACCCGCCCGTCTCCCCTTCCTCCTCGCGACGAAAACACTCGTGCAGTATGTATGTTGCATACGTATAGGTATGATATGCTGCTTTTATCTCGTTCGCCGATCCTGCGAATGTTGTGTTGGGTTCTTGGATCATACCTTGGTTTTTCCGGATCCTCGAATTTATAGTGCTGGATTCCACGTTTGTGTCAACTTTTACTTCAATTTTTTTTTTTTTTTTTTTTTTTTTTTTTTTTTTTCTTTTTCTTTATGTATATACGCGTAATTTTTACCAATCTCCGTTTATTCCAAAAGCATTCCGTACATAAAACTTGAAAGTCATTGTACTTTGAACTCTAATTTCTTATAAATTTATTTAAATCTACTAAATTCCATGCAACGATTGAAAAACTGTACACCTGATGATGGTGATCTTGAAAGGACAGATAATACCTACGTTAGCTATTTCTATTCAAATTTTCATACTGAGTAAAATTTTGTCACAATTCGCTCCCATCGCGTGTCGTAGGGTGTTCACACAACAGTATAACTTTGTAGTAAAAATTAATAATGAATATGTTTTACATATGAAGGGTTACAGCTTCTTAAGAGTATAAATGTATTTTCTTTTTTTCCCATTGATTTTTTGTAAGCAAAAGAACAAACGTTAAAAAAATAAATGGCAGTAAAGCAAACATAAATATGAGATATAAGATTAATGAATAATTGGGTGTAGGTCACCATATTTGTACGTCAATAAACCCTTACGTGTATAATAACGTCTTGTACCCATCGTAACGTATATAATCGTATATAAGACATGTTGTTGCCATTGCACCGGAGTTGTAGCGTGAGACACAGCGTTGCCAAGTCTTGAATGATTATTCCCCCTTGCCTGCGGGCTAAAACCTTGAAAAAGTTGCGTAGAGTGTGTGTGCATATGGTAATGGTGTGTATATATACGCGCGTGTGTGCGCGTGGTACACACACGCATCACGAATAACGCGATTCACCTCCATATACATAATATATGTTTCCATCCCATATTTATACATATCATTAACTTGGCGTAATTGTACAGCGTAACTACGACCTGGGATGTATTTACAACTTTCCAGTACTCCGCTGTGGCTTAAGTTAGTGGATGTAAAATATTGTACCAATGACTGCATAACTGTTTTTTTAATTGATTGCGGAATATGTACCCATTATTTATTGGTCGTCTTCTCGATGTAGCGGACTGCGACATAACACCATGTCAGTCGTACATGCGAAAGGTCAAACATTGCCCTGGAAAAAAAAAATGTTTAAAAATTCATTTCACCCACTTATTCTGATACATGTTTTGGCAATTTATGTCAATACGTCTTAATAATTTATGTGTTTCTGACATTTGGATCTATAAAAAGTATTAGCTCTACCAGTGAACTGGATCCAAACTTCCCTGAATTTATCGTAAAAAAATTTTAAAAATCAAAAAAATCATTGTGCAGATAAAATGAACTTTTTAGCGAAAACATCTTGTTTAATTTTCATGGAGGTAAGTATTTTGTTAGGTTTTCTAATACATGAGTCATAGAGAAGAACAATTTTTTTGAGTATCGAAATAAAAAAAAGCAAACCAGGATAAACAAAACTTTATTTTCAAGCCATTTAGTATAGAAAAAATAAAAGAAGTACGAAATTAATTTCGTAATAAGTATTAGCGTAAACAAAAGCATGGAGAAACATTTTTTCCGAGCCGATACAAATAAAAAAAAAACCGGTAAAATATTTACATAAAAAAAAAAAAAAAAAAAAAAGCTTTGTCGAAAGAATTAACCAAGGGCAATTTGTTTTGTCCCCTACAACGCAGATATGGACGAGTGCAGAGCGTCAAGCTGTTGCCACGGGGCGAGGAGTGTCCCGTGGAGGGCTCGCTGGGCGAGGGCAGCGAGCTGGGCTCGGCTAGCGGCGGCAGCGGCTCCGGGGGCTCGAGCAGCCAAGGCGCCTCGGCCACGGTCGCTTTCATGGACATCAAGTCGGCGGCGAAGGCCCACGCCACCGAGCACACCCTCGACGAGAGGGCCCTCACCACCCAGTACTACGAGCCCCAACACATTCAACCCAGGTTTCCCTCTCACGGGTGAGCTGCTCATATTATATTCTTTTTCACCAAAACAGATGCCCTCCGTACGTTACACGCACAACGGTGATACGATCGCCCCAACTTTTTCTTTTTTTTTTTTTCATCTGCAGGCCGTGCTTTTTTTTTCCTCCGCTTATCGGTACCCGCGTATCTTTCGGCAATAACCCGAGAGAGAGAGAGAGATATGTACACATACGTATTTTCGAGTGTTCAACACGGGAATTATTGTGCTCCGTGGGTCGCGTCAATTCGCCGAAGAGTAATACAAAATTATTATCGCGAACTTGAAAGTAAAAAAAGAAAAAAAAAAAAAAACGCGCGCATGCAAATGGCTCTTTCCGTCATCAAAGTTTTGAGAAGAGCCACCACAAGTTTAATTTTCATCGAAAAGTTTTTCGGAATTTCATTCGATCGTACGCAGAGTTCGTATCTTTTCAGCCATTTGATGTCGCGGTATCTTTGTTACGTAAGTAAATAATCAAAGGAAAGCTGCTTTTGTCGTGTACAGCGTTAATGAGGTCAAAGCGTGAATAGGAGCGCAAAGGCAGGGATTGTATCGAAGGTCTGGAGCGTAAGTGACGCGGCCGATAAGCGATATCGCTTAGGACATCGGCATCGGGCTCGGGTCACATGTACACTTGCACACAGTATATTATATACAAATACTTACGTGTGTATATGGTGCGCGGCAAATAAGACGCTGTGGCGGCTTCGGTGTAGTAGCACGTGTCACCAATCTTGGTGGTATACTCGTATTGTACCTTATATAAATATATACTTGGAGAATCGAGCGCACGATTGAATATGCTGCTGTTTATTAATATATTTCAGGCCGTGTAAATCGACACTCGCTTGCTGCTGCTGTACTCATTTTTGTGTGGTTGATGAATTATTTTTACAAACTTGTTACAAGTCTGGAAATAACTGCTCCAAATTTTTTTTTTTTTTTTTTCGCAAAAACAGACCATAATCGGAAGAAATGCCATTAGTGGAATAATATCGTTATTTCACAGCAATAAAACGAGAGTCAATTTTTTTTTTTTATTTCTCTATCTCTCTCGATTTACTTTATTTTTAATTGATCTTTTACACGCTTGCGTGGTATTATCCAAAAATATACACGTGTAACATTAAATTACGCTGGAGGGCGGGGTGATTTATTCTTTTTCAGACACGAATAAAATTTCAATGACTTTTTTCAATAGTAAAAATAAAAAAAAAAAAAATAAATAACTCAATCTACGATTAAAAATTGTGCTCGATGGACGCTTAGATAATCACATATTGTATATCCTCAAAATTCATCGAAAGACAATTGCTGTCGTTTAACCTCGAGTTGTGATTTTTTTCATTTTTCTATTTGCCGTATCATACAAACATCAGTTGTGACAAAGACACTATATACACACCTACAAAAACATAATAACTTTTCAGGATACCTGTAAATAACCGCTACAACTCCAGTAAACGCATTTTCTCAAAATATCTTTGAGATGTCTTGTAGACTTGCAATGTCCATCTGAAAAACACCTTGGACAATGAAAAGTCTCCAAGAAACCTTGAGAAAACGTGTCAACTGCGACACGATACACGGATAACACTCTTATAGTTTGCCTCTAAATGGAAAAAGAAAAAAAAAGTAAAATCGGCCAATTGTCGATGTGTTGCAGGAGGGACAGGGAGCGCGAGCGCGAAAGGGAGCGCGAGCGGGAGCGCGAGAGGAGCTTCGAGTCGTCTGTGACGGTGGGCAACTCGAGCGGGCGCTTCGCCCGCTACGAGACCCCCCCGCGCGCCCGGACCTCGAGCTACAGCCGGAGCGCCGGAGCCGGCACCCCCGGGGCCAGTCCCGGCCACCCCGGCCCCATATCCCGGGCCGCCCGGCGCTCCTACCAGGCCGACCCCTACTACGAGCCCGACTACCCCGAGCCCCAGCTCACCAGCCGGCGCTTCCGCAGCTACGACGAGTTCAGCCAGGGCAGCGCGGCCAGCCACGACGACTACGAGCCCGGTGGCGGTGGGGTCGTCCTGGTCGGGAGTGGGGCCAGTGGCAATGGGCCTAGTGACAAGCTCCTCGACGACGAGCTCGGGCCCCCGGGTCTTGGGCTGTCCATCGGTCGCAGGCACGCCATCCCGGTGGCCGGTGCGGGTGGACCCGGTGGGGTGGTTGTCGTCGTCGGGGTCGATGGGCCGCCGCCTCCGTTGCTCCCGCCCCCACCCGACATCCGGCACCTGCAGAAGGAGCGGGTCCACCTGCTGGAGCAGCTCGAGGAGTGCCACAGCAGTGGGGACGAGCAGATGGGCTTTGCGCCCAAGAAACGGCAGAAGCTGTGCGAGCCGGCAGCCCTGCTCCTGGCCTCGGCGAACCACAGCCTCGAGGACGACGAGCCGGAGATCACGTCGCTGCTCGTCACTTCGCACTCGGGTCGCAAGGGCATCGAGGTGCGCCGGGTCAGCGACGGCAAGTCCTCCCATCACGGCTCTAGGCGGTCCAGCTGCGAGACAAGGGTCTCGTTGCCCTGCAAGCGCCGTCGCGACGGCAGCTCCAGGTACGTCCACCAACGCTCTTACACTATAAGTACATGCTTTGGGTTCTTTCGCACCAACGACAAGCTATAAGGATACCCCAAGTGGCTGTGTTTTCTAAACACAACTTTGAACGCGTGGATTCATGGGGGTACATGTAGCCATTTTTACATTGCGAAATTTATTGTTTCCATGTCTTGAAAAATATCAAAGCTTTGTGGCTCGTTTCCGTTTAATTTCGGTCAATCGATGATTGTGTGTTTATTACTTTTTATCCGAATGGATAGTATGATTTGACCAAAAAGTAATCGAGTTGACATTTTTTTTTTTTTTTATCAACAAATTCAATGAGGACAATGATGATTTTTAACAAATAAAAAAACCATCGTAGTTGGGGTTTTGCGCAACTCTCAATAGTTAATTGAATATGCAGGGTTAAAAGTTTTGAAAAATCTGGTTGTATCGTGTTACGCAAAATATAGAAAATCGTCATCCGAGACAGTCGATGTAACACACCTTTTTCAACTCTTTCGTCATCAGCGTTACGCACCATTTAATCTGATAATCTTCATAGTTTGATCGAAATCGACTTAATTTCATCGATTACTTGGAACTTTTTTTATCGGAGTGTAAATGTCTGACCAAACAAGTTTTCGATAAACGATTTTTTAAAAAAGAGCTAGAACAAAAAGAAATCAATTTTTCATAAACTTGTAAGTTTTTTTTATTTTTAAAAATTTCAAATGGGTCAAAATCATTTCAAACAAAAAAAAAGACAAATTTCTTACCGATGTTTTTCGTCTGGAATTATTGACAGTAAAATGCCACAAAAAGCGCTAAATGTTAATTTAATCGGTTAAGTCGGCATTATCCAAACACGTTTGTTATTTCTCAAACACAAGTTCATTAACCTCGAGATTAGAAGGCGTATGACGTAACTGCCTTAATATTTTCGGGTGTATAACACAAGCAAAGCCGTGACGAAGAAAAAAGTCTCATGGATAATAAATGCCTTATTGCGTGTGTGTTTTTCTCCCACCACAGGCATCACGAACACCACGAGGGCTCTCGGCCAGGCACGCCGCTCGTCGACGAGCGCCCGGAGAACATCATGCCCAGCGAGCCCCGAAGGTTTCGCGAGCGCAGCCAAGACGGTCCCCTTTCGCTGCCTCTGCCCAGGTTCGCCACCCAATTGTTGAACAGCGGCAGCGGCAGCAGCGGGATCAGCAGCGGCAGCAGCACCAGCTCCCGGGGCGGCAGCACCCCCAGCTCCGGCCTCGGGAAAATCGGCTCGCCCCCGTGCATCGAGCGACTGCAGCCCGCGTCGGCCAGCGCCATCCCGGCCCCGGCTTCGCCACCACCGCGGCAAGCCAGTCTCAGTCCCACGAGCTCCGACAGCGACACGGCGCCCCAGTCGCCCAGCCTCGAGGAGCGCATCCGCTCGTTGGACGAGAAGTACGAAAAGTGGTCGGGCTCGCGAGCCATCGGCGTCCTCCAAGTGGCTAGCGACGCGCTCTCCGGGAAGCGCGACGTGTCGAGCAACAGCGTTGCCAGTTGCAGCAGCTCCAACAACGTGGCCGCCAGCTCTGTCACCAGCAGTAGCACCACCAGCACCACGAGCACCGGCAACAGCAGCAGCAACAACAACAACGGTAACAGCAGCAGCGAGCGGTTTCGTTTTCGGCACAAGCTTCTCGATCTCGACCTGCACGAGGTTCAGCCCTCGGACATCGTCAAGTCCGTCCTGGCCAAGCGCAGCGTCTTCGACGAGGACTCGAAGCGCCTCGAGAACCTCAACGAGAAGTACGAGCCCAAGGAGTTCACGGGTGTGCTGGGCGTGAGTACGCTCATCGGTCAAGCGTCGAGTACCACCACCAGTATCGCCGCCACAACCACCACCACCACCATCACCACCACCGCCACTACCACCGCGACCTCCTCAACCACCACCACAACCAGCAAGGTCTGCCTGCAGTATCCGTTTCCTAGTCACCCGCCCGCGGCCGCGGCCGCGGCAGCTGTCGTTTCTTCGTCGTCGTCGTCGTCGACGTCCTCCTCCTCTTCCACGTGTTCAGCAGCGTCGTTGTCGTCCGCGTCCTCGGTGTCGTCGCTGTTGTCCCCAGGGCCGGTGAATCCAAGCAAGGCCAGCAGCAGCATCGTCGAGCCTCGCGGCGCGAGTGCCGCGACGACGGCCAGCTGCCACGTGCACCCGAGCCCCACGGCGCCCGTCACTCCCGGGGCCAACGTCAAGACGGTCAGCCCGGAGCTGCCGCCGGTCTCGTTGCCGCTCAGCCTGGCGTGTGCCTCGACGAGTCGCAGCCAAGCCTCGCTGCCCCCGGCCTCGCCGCTCGCGGCCGCGGCACCGCCGACTCAGCCGGCCACGACGGCCGCAACGAGCCCCCTCGAGGTCGCCCAGCGGCATCGGCCCAGGAAGGAGTCGACCTCGAGGGACCCGCGGGACCCCCGGCCCGTTCACAAGACCAAGGAGCCCACGACGGCGCCCTCTCCTTCGTCATCGTCGTCGCGAAGATCGAGAAAGGACGAGGAGCGCGAAGAGCGCGGGCAGCCCGAGGTCTCGGAGTCGGAGGGCAGCAGGGACTCGAGGCACGAGAAGAAGGACAGGGAGGACAAGGAGAGGCGGGAGCGCGAGGAGCGCGAGCGCAAGGAGCGAGAGGAGCGCGACAGGCTCGAGCGCGAGCGACGGGAGCGCGAAGAGCAGGAGAGGAACGAGCTGGAGCAGCAGCAGCAACGAGAACGGGAGAAACGCGAGAGGGAGCGCAAGGAGAAGGACGAGAGGGAGAGGAGAGAGCGCGCGGAAAAGGAGAGACTTGAGAAGGAAAAGCGGGAAAAGGAGGAGCGCGAGAGGCGACGGGAGGAGAAGGATCGGCTCGAGCGCGAGAGGAAGCGCGAGAGGGACGAGAAGGAAAGGTTGGAGCGAGAGAGGCGGAAGGAAAAGGAGGAGCGCGAGAGGCAGGAGAAGGAAAAGCGCGAGAAGGAGGAGAAGGAGCGCGTTGACAAGGAAAAACACGAGCGCGACAGGAGGCGAGAGCGCGAGGAGGTCGAGAGGCGAGAAAAGGACAAGGCCGACCGCGAGAGGAGGAGGGAGCGCGAGGAAAAGGAGAAGGAGCGAGAAAGGGAGAAGGACAAGGACAGAAGGGAGCGAGAGGAGAGCAGCGGGAAACGTGGACCGACGGAAAATCACGTTCACCCGCCGGTGGTCAACACTCACCACTCGGCTCCGATCTCGAGCAAGCGAAGATGCTCCTTGCAGGACGGGCCTCTCGAGGACGAGGGCAAAGAGTCGAAGCGCGCCAAACTCTCGGAGCACCGTCGGGACAGCAAGGACAAGTCGTCCAAGCAGAGCAGCCGGCGTTCCGAGGATCGTAAACATCGCAGCGAAATTCACCGGTCGAGTCGCGACAGTAGGGACAGCCGAGAGAGCAAAGACTCGATCTTGACTCAGGACAGCCGAGACAGTAGGGACAGCAGGGAGTCGCAATCCCACGCTGTCGACTTGCTCCGGGAGTCGAGTCGGGAGGGCAAAGAGAACAACAGGGAAGCGACGAGTAGCAGTAGCAGCAGCAACAGCAGCAGCAAGGACAAACAGCGTAGTAAAAAGAGCCGTTCGGAGAGGTCGACGGACAAGGAGTCGAGGGAGCGAAGCCCTCGAGTTTCCGTGCACGAGCCCGAGAAGGATTTTCTCTCCAGGCTGGAACTCAAGAGAAGCGACTCGAGCCCGCTCAGCGAAAACTCACCCGTCACCACCTCGCACCATCCCACCAGAGAATCGCAACAGCTACATTCGCATCATCATCATCATCATCACCACCACCACCAACAACAGCAACAGCAACAACAGCATCTCAATCAGAATGCTCACAGTGACTTTGACGATGCCATGCTTTCGGGGCACGAGATTCATCAGGGACCACGACATCCTTCGGCTACCGATACCGACAGTGACGAACCAAAGAAGCATTCCATTTTTGACATTGTCGACGATGAGCCTGCTTACATTAGTATGTACGACAAAGTGAAGGCGCGATCGACAAAGACCATGCAAAAGAAGGAAGAGGAAAAACGTCAAGTGAGTACTTAGTTTGGTGATTTTTATTTATCGATTTGAATCCAAAGCAATAATTTAATTTTTTTTTTTTTTTCTTTTTTCCGCAGGTGAGGTTAAAAGACAAATTTTCGCAATTGAAACAAAGTCGGGCGAGACGCGAGGAAAAGAAGCAGAGCACTTCGTGGGACGGAGACTCTGTGAGTAGCAAGGCCTTGACGGAGGACGAAGGTACTTCCGAGTCCGACTCGACGAGAGCAAAGTCATTGTCCCGCAAAGGCTCGAGATCTCGTATACATTCTGACACCAGCGAAGAGGACGAATCCTTCAACAACAAATTGGATGTAAAAATAAAAACCGAGCGTTTCTTGGAGAGCGACGTTGATCAAGGTTTCGCGGATACGGAGGAGAAGCATCACATTCGCGAATCTCCCAACATCAATAAGAGCATCATCGTCAACAATGTTCACATCAAAGAAGAGCCGAGAACGTCGGATGACGATGACAGGATATCGATGCCTTTCCACTTGAACAAGGTAGTGGTGAACAATCACGATCGAGACTCCCGTAAAAAGTCGCACAAGAAAAAACAAAAGCGACAAAAGAGCTCGATATCGAGCGAGGATGCCGTCAAGCAGCAAGTCTCTTCTGACTCTTTTGATTACAAAAGCAATATCAAGACGGAGCTCTGCTCGAGCGCAAACTCCAATCACGTGGACGACGAGGCTTCTCCGATTTCAATGTCCAATCTCAACGCTTCGACCCCGCCCGCTGACAGTGACGAGAGAAAGAAGTCCAAGAGCAAAAAGGACAAGAAGCGCGACAGGAACGCCGAGAATAAAGTCAAGGCGAGGAGAAAGCGCCTGAACCGACAGGAGGCCAGAGATAACCAGCGAATGGAGGATATCTTTGGTCCCTTGTCGGAGACCGACGAGCGAGAGGTTGACGAGCCCGCGTCGAACTACGTCAACAACTCACCCGACTCGCCCGTGGAAAACCACCACCACCACAGTCTCCACCGGCATCACCGACACCACCACGTGGACTTTAATTCGGACAGCGACGGTGCCAACAGCCCCGTTCGCGAGCACGAATCGTCCGGACGCAAATCCGACAAGAAGCGCCGGCATTACACGCACGACGAAACCAGTCCCGACTCCATCGAGGCTGGCCGAGAAATCGAGGCTAATCTTCTGGCTAGTCTGTCATCCGGCTCGCCCAAATCCGCCACCATGGCGCCCGTTGCCACATCCGCCGAGTCCATGAACGAGCACGACGTCTTTCGCTTTACCGACGACAACGACAGCGTCGAGCCCGCCACTCCGATCAGCACCGCACCCGAGAAGCTCAAGGAGAAAAAGAAGAAGCGCAAAAAGTCCAAGGACGAACGCTCGCGCAAAGAATCGCACCACCACCATCACCACCATCACCATCACCATCACCACGAAAAGTCGTCGAGTCTCAGTTTGCCGAGTCTCAGCTCGGACAACTCGCCACCTAGGGCCAGTAGTCCCATCGTTCAAGCTGCAGCGGCTACGGCGACGCCGGTGGCCAGTACCATTCAGCCAGCCTCACCGAAGGAGAGTATGCCTAGTCCGATAACAAAGGAAGCTACCACTGCCGCCGTGGCACCGTCTGCCGAGCTCGAAGCCACTACAGAAGCCCTCGAGTCCTCGCAGTCGTCCGAAAAGAAAAAAGACAAGCTGATCCCTGGTTTCGGGCTCGATATCGACGAGAGTATACACGAGAACGCGGTCAAGAGTATCTCCGAGCCCGACGAGCGTGACACCAGTCTCCAGTCGATCAACAGCCGAGAGGAGCCGGAGATACCCGAGGCGTCGACACCGCCAGCGCAGACCGAGGACAAGCCTCGAGTCGTCATTTCCCAGGAAGAAACTGCAGACGCGGTCGCTGCCCTTCTGGAGGAAACGTTCGGTGAGCCTGAGGACGACTACCCTTACGAGGCTGAAGAGACGAATGAGCCCGAGGTCGAGAACACCATGGTTCCGGTGCCGCAGACGCCACCACCAGAGGACGTCGAGGAAACACAACAGGCAGTCGAGAGTCTCAATGCTTCGACCGAGAGCACGGAAGCCGACCTCAAGCCAGACACGCCACAGAGCGAGCACGACCTGCAAATTGACACCGACACCGAGGAAGACACCAGCTTTGAGACCTTTGAATCTAGCCAGCTACCCAAGACACCAGACATTCCAAACTTTTACAAGTCACCGTCCAAGACCCCAACGCCTGCAGCTGCGTTGTCACCTCCTGCATCGTCGTCCACTGTTACGACCGCCCCGGCAACAGCTACCGAGGTGCCAGTAAAGTTGTCAGCAGAGTCGTCGTCGGCCTCGTCGAAGTTGCCAGAAAATCTGGAGCGGCAACCGCCGACCAGTCCACCTGTTTCAGCTGCGCCTCCGCTGTCAAGGCCCCTGCCGAGTTCGATACATCCCTGGAGCCTTGCTGAACAATCAACTCGAGAGCTAACAAAAATACCTCTACCAAAGTCTGTGGAGCAGCAGTCCAGTGTGAAGGAGCCCGCGAACTGCGAAGCTCAAGCGCCAAGACCATCTCCGCTTCCGGTGGTGGTACCTGCACCTCCAGTTCCTGGGCCACAAATGCACGTCTCGGAACCACTGAGTATGCCAATTCTCACCGAGACGAGCAAAACTTGCGCGCCGCAGCAGCCTCTCTACCAGAGGCTCCCGGTTTCTCCTCAGAGCCAGATGTTACCGTCACGGCAGATCTCATCGAGGGTCGCGAATCCCATATCAACCGCTATCGCCGTGTCGAGCGCGGCTGCCTCTCCGACCTCGTCGAGACCGAGTCCCCTCGCGGTGGGTCAGCCTTCGCCCCGGCTGGCTCAGCAACCTCACTCGCCAAACGGCCAGTGGAACCGCGGCTCGGCCCAGACAAGTCCTCTGGCAGCTTGTGCGCCCAAAACCTCGATTACCACTGCGAACGTCAGAATACCGGTGAGCGTTCCCATCTCGGCTCATCGTCCAGAGCTTCAGCTCCAGCACATCTACTCGACGGTGATGAGCCCACAGCAGCAGCAACAACATCCGGTCATTCAGCACGCCTCGGGTATGAGAGCCGTGGCTCCGAACTATCCGCGCGGGGGCCTGCCTCCTCTGACTTTAAGCATGCCGCCGTCGAGACAATACTTGCCGAGCATGCCGATGCAGTCGCAACAACAACAACAACAACAGCATCAACATCAGCAGCAATCACAACAGTCCAAGTTGGATGCGAGCTCGCTGTCCGGGAAATCCGTCATCGAAACTCTACTTCCGGCCAACGCGAGCGAGCTCGCGCCTCGAATGGACGAGCAGCCGAAGCTCTCGACGAGCATCATCGCGGCAGAGTCCAGCATCAAAGTATCGACCTCACCAAAGGTGCCCTCGCCGAATCAGCCGCCCACTTACATCCCGGAAACGGCCAAGGTCGACATCGGCACGAGCGCTGCCTGCACCGTTTTCGGCAAGACCACCGACGTGACGACCACCCTGTCGCCCAGTCTGCAAAAACGCGAGCTCAGCAGCGCGCAGATCTTTACGAGTCACTTGGTTACGGCTCCCCCTCCACCTCCTCCCTTGCCGTCGTCGACGCAGTCTTCCACGATGAGTCCCGTCATAGTCGCTCACGGCCAGCCTCACCTCGGCCACCCGTCGCTCGTACGCTCGCTCATGCAGTCCACGACGGCAACGTCGTCAGTCGTTACGCCTTTCGTGAAAAGCCTCATGTCCTCTGCGTCGCATTACGCGACGCCGATCAGTGCTCTGTCCATGGATCCTTTGGCCTCCGTCGCTGGATTAAAGTCACCCTTGATGTCGTCGCAACAATCAATGCTGCTTGCCAAGCCGCACATACCAGTTGTCTCGGCTGCGCTTCAAGGCATCGCGTCACCGGCTAACCCGAGCGTCATCGGTAAATCAAGATCTTTGGACAACGACACGAGCTTTTTGTCGGAGAAGTCGCTTCGCGCGATGGACGAGCTGATGAGCGTTCACAAACAGATGCAGTCGGCCCAGTTCACGCAGATGAAATCGCCTCAGAGCGTCGAAGTCCGGCACGTCGCTGTTTCTTCCGAGGTCGAGGAGAAAGTCAAGGAGGAAAAACCATCGGAGCAGCCGATAAAGTTGGAAACGAGCGTGGACATGAAATCGGAAAAATCAGAGCCCAGCCAGGTGGAACGTGTCGTCGTCAAGTCGGAAGACGAGAAGCTCGAGGAATCTGCTCGAGTTAAATCAGAGCTTGACGTATCTCCCAAGATCGAAGCACCTTCCAACGAGATCAAACAAGAGCACGAAGCTCCAAAGGAAGAGGCTGAAGTTGAGGAAGACGCCGAGGAAGAAACAGTCGAAGAATCACCAAAAGAAATTGAAACCGCTAAGGAAGAGGCGACCGATAGCAAAGAAGACAGCGATTACTGGTCGGCAAAGGAGGTCAACATCGAGAGCGTGATCAAGAAGGTCGACGCGCTGTGCGATGGCGAGAGCAACGACGTCGACGAGGAAGATCAAGCCGCCGACACTCACGCGGAGTCTCAGACCCACGACACAAGCAAGAGCGAAGGAGACGCGTGGTTTGACTCCGAATCGGCGGACGATGAGCACAAAAAGAGCTTCACGAACGTGGACGACCAGGACGAAGGCGTGGAAACGTCCGAGGGCGAATCGACGAGAGGTAGACGTGGCAGATCCAAGGCGAAGAGAACAGCCGGTGCACGAGGTGGTGGTGTAACTACCAGACGTGGAGGGCGAAATGCCGCAGCTGCTGCCGCGGCTGCTTCGTCATCGGCTACCGTGAGCGCTGGTCCACCGGCGCCGGCACCAGCATCATCACCAGTACCAGTTGGTACACCGCCCAAACGTGGAGGTGCCGTTGGTCGGCCAGCTCGTGGTGGCAAGCAGCACTCAGAGAGGCACAAATTCCCTGCGGACGTTTACGAGTTTCACGATGACAGCGAGGAGGACAACGCGGGCAGGCCCAGGCTCATCCTCACGATCAAGTCGCCGGGACCGAATGTCACATCTGGTCCCAACGCTCTGCCGGCCACGCCGGTCGCGGCCGTCAAAGAGGTGCCTCCCGAGGAGTTTGTCTCACCGACAACGAATACTCGCAAGTCGCGCAGGCTCGCTGAGAAGGACGGCAGTCGATCGACCATCGACGACGTCATCGAGGACGTTGTACGTGGTGCAGCGAACAAAAATGCGCTCGGTACCGCGCAGTCCTCGGTTACAACGCGCAGAAGCACCAGACAGAACAGCACTAATCCACGCGCTACGGTCGTCAACCAACAGCAGCAGCAGCAGCAGCAGCAACCCCAGCCACAAACACAGCAGCAGGTACAGCCACAACAGCAACAGCAACTGTCGGTCCCCACGACTGCTGAAACGCGCAAGTCGCCAAGGGCGTCAAGAAAAACATCGCACCGCAATTCCGAAAGCACTGATGACCTCACGGAAGAGAAGACAGTCAAAGACGAACACCAGTTTAAAGAAGAAAATGAGACACCGAGTCCGGTGCAGTCCCTTTCCGACAAGGCAGAAGAGCCCTGCAAGCCAACGCCGCCAACTACAGAAGCTGGTCAGAAATCTGCTCCCCTCGAGCCCACTAATCTTATTGACCCGGTAACTGGCATGCTCATACCTATGCGTGAGTCCGAGGAAGGCCAGTACATACCAGTCTCTACAGCTTCTGGTCAGGTTATTCACAACGCCGTGAGGACAAGTGCAGATGCCAAAACGAATTTGACCATAAGCAGCAGCAGCAGCGTTAATTCCAGCAGTCACATGAGTGTTAGCAATGCCCCGGTGGAGCCTGTTAAGCCAAAGAAGCTGCATGTGGAAGCGAGTCAGGCAGAAATAACCAAGGCAGAGGTCGAAGCTCCAGTTATAGCTGTTACAACTATTGCTGCAACGTGCAAACCTACAGTTACAACGGTACAGAGCGTCACCACTCCGATACATACGACTCCTGCGCCAGCGATGATCCAGAGTAACGTCATTACGAAGCCTCAATCTCCGGTCATTCAGACAACTGCAAACGTTGTTGCTCAGACAGCGCCAGCTGCAGTTGTAGCTACAGCTACAACCAACGTACCGTCCACTACAGTAACTATAGTATCTAGCAGTGTAGTTTCAACTCCAGCCCTGTCCACCTCTGTCGCAGCAACTTCAAAACCAACCAGTTTCAAGGCTCACGTTCTCAGTGCTGCTAATAAAATGGCCAATCAAGTGTCGCATCCTATGATTGTGACAAAGGCACCTCCAACCAATATACCTAGCCAGCCAATTGTGCAGAACTTGGTGAAACCGCCGATCCAAGTTGTTCAAGGTTTGCACATGCACGTGCCTCCGGCGCGAGTCGCTTCCCCAAGTTTGAGTCACGCCAAGCCAGTTCAACCACAACCAGCCGTTGTTAATGCAGTAAATGGAAACAACAAACCGCAACCACTCCAAGGACAGCCCATGTCACCAGTACTAAGCAACACTGGTACTCCACCGAACCCAAAACAACATCTTCTTCAGGCAGCTAAACAACAACAACAACAACAGCAGCAGCCGCCACACGCTATCAACATCAATGTACAACCACAGCCGATTTCAAGTCCGCTGACTCCTACTCCGAGAATTGTGACAACACCTCAACCAGCAACTCTCAAAGGGATCAACGGTCAGCCTCACGCAACACTTAACCCAAAGGCGCATCTACTGCAGGCTGTAGTACCTTCCATCATTGCTGGTACGGTTGCTAGTCCACCGCTGCAGTCGCACCTTGTCGCACCAGCCGTTGTTACTAGCGTCCAGTGTTCAAGGACAGCTCCTCCGAAACCATTGGTAAGGCTCCCGTTTTGTAGAAATTTAAGCTTTTGATTGCAAAAGTGCAACAATGTGCAATTTTTTTTTCTCTACTAGGTAACTGGAGCTATAGAAACACCAAAGGTAGAAGTGTCAATGTCTGGTTGCATAATGGTGCCGGCTCCAAGTCCTCAGAGCAGAATGGCTCCTCTAACAGCTTATGAAGCTTCATTGGTGAGAACAGATTTTTATTTTTTCGTCCATAGCATACCTTATGTTTGATAATATTGTCCAGATAAATTTTTATTTTACTTTGTCCAGTAAAACCATAAATGAGTTATTTCTAATGATATTTTTTTTTTTTTTTTTTTTTTTTTTTTTTTTTTTTTTTTTTTTTTTTTTTT